CAGGCACCGGCAGCGGCAGCAGCAGCAGCAGCAGCAGCAGCAGACCACCCGGGGCCGCAGGGGCCGCAGTTCTGGGAACAAGAAGTCCAAGAAGCGCAGTCGGCGCAAGGAAACCTACTCGATGTATATCTATAAGGTGCTGAAACAGGTGAGCGTGGAGAGCGAGGAGGTGGGGCTTACTAGCCAGGTCTGTTGAAGGCCCTGGCCTGGAAGCTGGGGTCTGGGTGTGGTGCTGACACTGGGGCAAGTGGCCTCAGGAATGCTCCCTCTTGGGAGCCCAATCAGAGGTCCCTCTGCCTCTCAGGGACAGGTAGGAGTCACTCAGCATGCTCCTTGTGACCATCCAGAAGCTTACAGGACTTTTGGACAGAGGTGGCATCGTGGGGGACGTAGAATAGAAAGAGGCTGTGGGCTGTCGGGTGCCAAACACAACGGTATAAAGCAGGAATGTTGGCGGTGACTGGCACCCGGGGGAGGCCTGGCCAAGCCAGGCCTTGGAGGGCTCATCTACTTTGCAGCCGAGACCTGGCCCCTTAAGGCTTTTGGTGTAGGCGAGTCACATGACCTGACAGTGGCCGCATCCCAGCTCCTGCAGGCATCCTTTCTGTGTGCTCCTGTCCCAACACACGGGCTGCAGGTGCCCTTTATTACGCAGAAGTTACTCCTGGGACTGAACATGTGGACAAATGCTTCCAGGTTTTGGTAGGGCCTGACGACCAGCCTGCAGGGTCTGGAGCATCCTGGGCTCACCTCAAAGCCACTGCCCTGCTCAGCAGGAGGCAGGGTGGTGGTGGTGCCCGCCGGAAATGCCTACTGCCCACACCCCACATAGGTGCCCGGGGTGGAGCCTGTCTCTCATCTGAATTCCATTAGCAGTTTCAGGGCATTGACCACTCGGCATCTGGGAATGCCGTGGGGGTGGGAGGTGGGCCCGGCATTGACAGATGGACAGAGAACAGACTCCAGTGCTCTGAAAAAGTGGTCCGGGAACGTTAGTTTTACTGGGCCTGGGTCTCAAGAACTGTGACTAAAGGCTTGGACCAAGCCTGGACCCGCAAGGGACAGCACTGCTGAGCAGTTAGCCGTCACCCTCACTAGGGCGACAACTGCTTTGGGCAGCCCCACGGAGGATGAAGGACGTGAGGACCATAGACGGGGTGGAGCTAGGAGGGTCGGTCTCCTGCTGGAAGTGGAGAGAGGGTGGGAAGGCGCAGTGACCTGGCCCAGTTCTGTCCCCCCCCTTGACCAACATGGGTCATGGCCCTCCCACTTCACACCCGAGGGGGTCTGCCTGCTCACACCTGAGGACTGTCACCTGCTCCCTACCATCTGTCTTACTAGAGACCACCTAGTTAGAAAGCTTGCGTGAGGAGGAAACAGGCTGAGAGGAACGCGCCTAACTCGAGGTCATTGGTGTAACCACGTCACAGCACAGATCGCGTCCCTTACCTCCTAGTCTGGAGCTGCAGCTTGTGTCACTTAGAGGGGCTCGCAGGACGGCAGCTAAAACTATCGACCAGGCCAAGCGTGCAGACCCTTTGACCCTGCAGTCCCACCCCTGTGAGCTCCATTACGCTGTTCAGAGATGTTTATTGACTATAGCACATTCTATGGGGTGTTGGAAGTGTTGGGAATGTTTTTGTTTTTCTATGCAAAAACGCATCACAACTTTTCCAACAATCTAGTGATAGAAAAACAAACCAACCCCTCCCTACATGTCCATTACGAGAGGAATGTCAAGCCAGCTCTGTAGCCGAGTGCTTAAGGGAGCCAGATCCCACAGGCCAACCATAGTTCAAATCCCAGCCTCGGTCAAGGCTTGAAAAACATTCTGGGTACACGTACATGTGTACCCCAAATCCTGACAGGATGGAGGAATGGAGGAGAGGCTGTGGTGTGAACACTCCCCACTGGGGGTGCTTTCTCCCCCAACACTCCCTCTGGGAGTGCACATATCCTCTGGCAATATCTAGACAGAAGGAAAGATGGGCCGGCAGGTGACATAGTGTTTAAGGCACTGGATTCCTGCAGGCGACCACAGACCTGGGGCTTGCTTTCTCACTTTTCCTTTCTCTCTGATCAAAATTAATAATAATGAAATGAAATCTTTTAAAAAGAGGTAGAGGGAGAGAGGAATGGTGATGGAACTGATTCACTCGTACCATGAAGCACTGTGCAAATGCATTAAACGGAAAAAGCGAGCTACGTGAAAAGTGGAACTGACCCCACCTGGTAAGTATGCTTACTTGTGCTTACACAAGCAGCTCAACAGCATTGGTCTTTGCGGCTGGAGAAATATATACTTTTTAAACTGGATAGAGTAGTAAAAACACATGCCTATTTCCGGGTTTGTTGACCTCGTGGGGCTTGCCTCCGACCTCTGCCTTCAGCTGGAGACTGAGGCTTGGGGTGCAGGCAGAGGAGCCCCATCCTCAAGTTAACCGAGTGTCCTGCTTCTCCAGGTGCACCCCGACATCGGCATCTCTGCCAAGGCCATGAGCATCATGAACTCGTTTGTGAACGACGTGTTTGAGCGGCTGGCTGGGGAGGCCGCCCGGCTGGCCCAGTACTCGGGCCGAACCACGCTGACTTCCCGGGAGGTCCAGACGGCCGTGCGCCTGCTGCTACCTGGGGAACTGGCCAAGCACGCCGTGTCCGAGGGCACCAAGGCTGTCACCAAGTACACCAGCTCCAAGTGACCCAGGGCCTGACATAAATAAAGGGCGAACTGTTCCCACGCGCTGTAGTGATTTGGAAAAAGGGAAGTGAGGTCTGGGAAGGGTATTGCTCTTCTGGAGTCCGCCACACGCAGGGGAACACTTATTCATACTATTAAAAAACGCACTCCAGGGACCAGCCGATGGCGTAGTGGTTACGTGGCTGGACCCCCACGTAGTCCACCACGGTTTGAGTCCACACTGGGCCCACGTGCGTGCATGCCCAAAATCCTGGGAGGAGAATGGAGATGGGATTGCGGTATGACCATGCCCTCCAGGGGGGGGGGGGGATTTCTTGCTTTCTGTCTCTGGCTTTCCAGTGAGCATACACTACCTGCAGCAAAAAATTTCTTAAAAAAAAACTGTTCTGACGGGTCCCGTGGGGGGACACGTAACGGTGCTTTGTGAGCGTATAGGAGTCTCAACTGGTAGTGGGCTGACGGATGGCTTCACTGCAGCCGCGCCCTGCCTGGGCCTGCACTGCACATCCAGGACCGTGTGTTACCCTCTCGGCCCATGGTCCTGTCATCCCCATTTCCCACCCTGTATGACAGGGCAAAGGTGCCCACAGCTGTCCTCCGGGGTACCAAAACCGAACTCCTGGCCAGCTTTAAATAACCTAAGAACATCACAAAGTTTTTCTTTTCCCCTGAAATTTTCTTCTTCCTAACTTCAGAACAAGTCTGCAGGGATGTTTCGAGATTTTTTTTTTTTTTTTTTTTTTAAGATTTCGTCATAGAGTGTGTACGCTCATCAGAAAGGGACAGAGCAGCCAGTGAAAAATCGTCCCCCTGGAGGGATGGCCACGCCGCAGTTCCTTCTCTCCTCTCAAGTTTTGGGCATGCACACATGCTCCTGGGATGTTTTTCAGGCTGTGGGTCCAGACTTTAAGCAGTGCAGTTGGTCATGTGGGATCCAGCACCCTAACCACCAGGCTACTTGCTGGCCCAAAACCCCTAACTCTTTTTCCTCAGTTTTATTTCAAGAATGTTGAAAACACAGCAAATTGCAAGAAAATACTCCTATGGCCTTTGCCCAGGTTCCCTACCTACCATCTGATGGCGTGTTGTTCCCTCTTGCGCAGCCTCCACCCACCTTGGGCGTAATCATTCTCCCAAGCTTGGAGAGGGCTGAGAGCAGGGCTGAGAGCAGGGGCAGGGCTCAGGGAACAAACCTCAAATCCTTCAAGTTCCCTTTGTGGCGGGAGAGACTTGGCTCGTCATCGCCTTCAACCTCACGCAGGGAAGACGTGATCGTGCGATCGTGGCCCACGCTGATTGCACAGCTGCAGCCTCGTGCACCTTCCCCACCCCAAGCCTCCCTCGCAACTCCACGGGCTGAGAGCTAACCCTTGGGGACGTTCCGCAGCTAGAAAGGGGCAGACCCAGCAGACATGGCCCCTGAGCCTTGCTCTTACCCACTCGGTTTACAGCTGGTCACTCGAGGTGGGATTCAGGGGCCAGCAGCAGCCAGGTCACTTGGGAGCTGCTTAGTGACGCAGGCTCACGGGCCCCACCTCATGTAGAAGGGAGTCTGCATTTTAACAAGACCTCCTCTTTCACTCCTCTGGGCTGGGGCCTGCCTTCTCCCCCTTCCCTTGGCCTCGATCCTTCTCGTGTGTTTATTCATAAGCCCCCGCTTAACACGGAGCCCAGCTTGCCCTGCCACCCAGGCAGGCTGCTGCTGGCATAATGACCTGTGTCTTCTGAAGAATGGTCTCCCTACCTCGTAGCAGTGACCAGGAGGTACCCTCAGGTGCCTGAGAATGACCCCAAACACCACTGAGCAGCACCACTCGGCTTTCTCCCTCCATCCTTGACACGGGTCTGGTGCTTACCAACGGGTGCCTGGCAGCCAGCCCATTGAGGCAGGCGTGGTTGTGCCCACTTCCGCAGGGCTGCAGGGCTGGCTGGCCAGCCCCAAATCCAGCCTCTCTCCCCTCCCACCACGCAGGCCTCCCAGGAGGGCGTGACAAGCGGCAAAGCGGGCTGCAGGACAGAGGCCGAGGCAGAGGTCAGGAATAGGCCCCCCTGGGCCGAGCAGCGCAGGGGCCTAACGCCTCTCAGAGTATTTACCCAGTGTCACAGTCCACAGGTGACTTCGGATGGAGGCTATTCCAGTTGATCCTCTCGAGAAAAGCAGCTGCAGTTGACCCCACTTCTCTTCATTATTAATTTTATTTATTCATTAAAAAAATTATTTAACTTTATTTTTAATTTGACCAGAGAGCGACAGAGACAAAGAGACAGAGAGGGAAAGTGAGAAAACCAGGTCGGGGACTCAAACTGTCGTCGGCCACGTGGGAGTCCAGCACCCTGAACCACAATGCCACCTCCAGCCCCTCATTTATTTTAAAATTGGACCAGACAGAGAGGGGGACCACGAGAAAGCAAGCCACCAGGTCTGGGACTTGAGCCATGGTTGGTCATGTGGGAGTGTCCAGCGCCTTAACCACCATGCCACCTGCTGGCCCGACCCCACTTCTGCCCAAACTTTCAAAGCCACCTCCTGGGGCGCTCCTTCCCTTCAGTGGGCCAGCTCCAGGACACCCTCCACCCTCCGAGGTGTGTCCCCAGTCCTGAGCCCAGGCCCCTCCTCCCAGCCTTGGAACGTTGGTACAATGGGTTAGAACTCTTAGAACCAAGCTCTTCTGCTCCCTGGCTTTGGCGGGGAGTGGGGTGGAACCATGGAGGTTCTGTGGGTACAGGACGGCTCACAAGAGGGCTGGGGTGATGCAGAGCGCGGCTGGGACCAGCGCCGGCCCTGCCTGGGCTGGGTCCCCACTGGCTCCTGGCTGGGTCTAGCTTTTGCCTGCGAATTCCAGAAGCAGGGCTCTGCTCTAGGCAAGGCCGCCTTCACACCCTCCCTCAGCCCAGACCCCCACCTGCCTTCCAGACCACTGCAGCCTTCCTGGAGGGGCCTGACCAGAAAGACCCCTTCCTCACAAGGTGTCCCCACTCCAGGCTGCCTCTCTCCCAAAGCCCCAACTAAGGACCATGCAAACCCCTCACTCCTCACTCCTGCTAATCCATGAGTGGGCTCAGACCCAACCTCACACCTGTAAGCCCAGGCTGGTCCACACACTTCCTAGAGGACCCTTCACTTTACTGCCTCCCTCTTTGGCTCCTCGAGTGACATCCAGCTACCCCGGAACCCCATGTCCACACTCATTGCTCGCGCTCACCCCCAGACTCCTCTGGCTCAGCTCTCTGGCAAGTCCCACAGTTCAGTTGTTCCTGAAAACAGGAAGGAACTTGTAGGGTCAGGACAAACGTGTGTTTTGAAACACATTATGGCTGTGTGAGACA